CCTTTGGAGCAGCCCCCAGGCCCCCTGGGCAGACACGCACAGAGCCATCCACGTCCCGGCGTGGCCAGGGCGCCGCAGCCACAACCAGCCCCTGGGCAGAGGGCCCCGGAGGCAGCCCTGGCCCATGGCTGCGCTCGGCAGCACCGCAACTAGTTAACGCTGCCCGCGGGGCTGCCCAGCGCTCGCGTTGCCAGCCGTAAATCAGGAAATTCTCCACTTGATAAGGAGGAGCCAAGTGAGGCCTCTGTGAGATGAAAAGCAAGAGGGATTTAGTGAGTGCTGGTGCAGGAGGGAAAAGAGAGCCAAGATGAAAACACTGTAGAAATGCGAGCGGAAAGGGGGCTGCTCCAAACCCTGCCTGCCGTGGCCAGGAGCAGCATCACAGGGAAGGGAGAGGTTGCCCGGCAGGTTTCCCACATGCGGAGCAGCCAGTGGCAGCAGGTGGGAGCCAGGCCGCTCTCCCTGCCCGGGCAGCCGGGAGCCGAGCTGCGACGCGAAGCAGTGACCGGCACCGCTTTCCTGCTCTCCCTGCTCCTGGGAACGCAGTTTTCCTGGGACTAACAGGAGCCACGGGCATGTGCTTGTGCCACTGCCTCGAAATGGGCAACGCCGTGACCGCCGCCCTTGCGGGCACGTGAGGATGATGAGCACGGGCAGGGGCTGGGAAGTGGAAACAGGCTGAGGAAGCAGGAGGCCGGAGTCCTTCCACGAGCCTCGAGCTCGGGCTCCTTCCCGCTCCGCTCCGCGTGCTGGCAGCAGAGCAGGAGGAATCAGCGCCTGGTGCAGGAGCCGCGCGGAAGCCGGTCCCCAGGCGGAGGTGGCTCCTTGGTGGCTGTGCTGTCCCCTGCCCCTCTGCAGGGCTCCTGTGGGGACATGGTGCATGGTGCCGGCCACCCGCTCCAGCACCGCGCGCCAGCGCCCGTCCCGCTCCCCTCCCTGCTCGGGGCAGGACGGCAGCCGGGGAGGGCAGCTCGGTCCAACGCTCCTGGCACAAGGGGCACTGCTGGGCTCCCGTTTTCCAGGATTATGGGGCAACAGGAGCTGTTTTCCCTCAGGCTGGGAGGAAAACGCCAGCACAGGCCTGTTCCAGCGGGAGGTTTTTAGAAAAGCCGCTAGCGCTAAATCCCTCGAACAGAGGGAGCGGCGGCAACGCACGCCAGATCACGCCGTGAG